CCCCCACCACCCCGCCATCGTCCAGGCACTGGCCTGTGAAACCTGCCCTGAGGGCAACATCGTGGGAAAGCCGCCCTGCTCACGGCCAGCGTCTCTCCTCTGCCCCTACAGTCTCCTCCAGACGGAGGCGACGTCGCGTCACCGGGTGCTGGGGGGGCGGCAAACGTGAACTGCATGGGGGGGGGGGGGGATACCAAAGCTATGATTTCATTCAAACGGAGGGAACCCTTTTTATAGACACTGGGAAAAAAAAACAACCATAAATGTGCGGATACGGAAGACTGAACATTTTCAGGGGGGAGAGGGTTGCGGGGGGGGGGCATTGGGATTCATAATGTCGGTATGTGGCATAATTTATACACTGTCACCAAAGTACAGTATGCTGAAAAGAAAAGCTGGAGGAATGAAAATCGTTGTGGAGGAGGAAGGCAGCCAGTATCCCGCAGGTGGCCGCTGACTGGCTGGGCACGGAGAATGAAGGCAGCGGCGCAGTGAAAACCGCAGTGCTCTGCTGTGTACCAAAGCGGCGCAGTGAAAACCGCAGTGCTCTGCTGTGTACCAAAACCTCCCGCATGGCTGACATAAATGTGAATGGAGATCACTGACGGGCGGGTTCCGATTCAGAGGACTGGCTTTTAATCACCCGGCTTCTGGTCTCGTGTCCGTGGCCCACAATGCACCGCGGAGAGGTTGGGATTAAGCGTGGGGTCGAGCAGCTGGAGTAAATCACATCTCCGCTGCCTCCCCCCCCCACCCCATCTTGCAGTGTTTCTCACAATCAATCCACTTCCCAACCCCAACTCGCCTTTTTATACACCTCCTTTTAATAATGAGTGTGCTGCTTGATTCATGCATTCATGTGAGGACATTTCTGTAAAAATATATCAGTATCTGTTGATGTGCGCCACACATGCCAATCTGGCTCCTCTTGGGGAGGCAACAGAAGTTGCCCGAGGCCCCGTACTGTTAAAGCAGACTATGAGTGCAGGACCCCAAGCTGTGAGGGGCACTCTGTGATGTGCCTGATTGGAATATGAGCTTTTTTTTGGTTGTTTACCTGATGGGGATGGGCCGGGGCACAGTGGACTTTGGGAGACGGGCTGCTCGGCTTGGCATGCAAGACGTCCAACTCTGGGTCACCTATGCATCACACCTCAATGCCAAAACTGGAACAGGCACAACTCGGCCAGCCCCGTGATGCCCAGTGGGCACCAAAAAGGAAGGATTACCCCTGAACCAACCCATCAGTGATGCTGCTAAGACCTTTTGCGGACTGTTAGTGAACCACACAATTTTATATGGCTGGGAAAAAAGGAAACAATTAATGTAAATAGCTGAAAAACATGCAAGCTGCTTGTTCTGGAGGGAGGTAACTGACGTGATGTCACAGAGTTGCTGGAACCCAATCCGGAGAGGGGGGGGGTACACAGTTTAACCACCTCCTACGTAGCAGACAGCAGTAATTGTACTAAGTACTTTGAAAGCTTTCAACAAAGGAGTGGATTCTGTCCCAGGACAATGGGGGTTATAATGAGAACCTTGGCTACTTAAGGCGACACTCGCAGGTCTGAAGGGCCTGCCTGTTCCCTCATGTTACACCTGACAGAACCCCCACCCCCCTCGCGTCTTACTTGGCAACATTAATTGCGAACGCAAGGAACCACCAGTGTGCATTACCAAAGAGATCAAAGCCAGCCAGAATACATCGTTTATCTAATGTATCTGTGTTTGCAAATTACATCTGACGTCGCTCAACTCATTTACACTTAATCCTTTGGGGGCTGCCAGTAATCCGGAGCAATTTACAGACTGATGCGTTTCATGCCGAGATGCAACGAGTGACCTTACTTACAGTACATAAACAACAGGAATGATATCACAGTATGACCAGGTTTTACGCAAACAAGCATGCTTATAGAAAATTATAAAATAATTGTTTTGTTCCCTTTGCATTTCAGATTTTGCAATTTGATTAACATTTTCGCTGTTATGTTACTGACTATCCTAAAAACATACCGTGATTCACCCATCCATCTTCAAACCACTGGTTACATGGGGCCTGGAGCTCATCCCAGATAGCATGCAGCACACGGTTGGGGTACTCGATCTCTGGATAGGATGCCAGTCCAAATATAATGCATAATATAGATGAAAAAATTACCAGGGTTTACTATGGAGATGGACACAAACAGATACACAGAGAGAGCGCACACCCTTGAGAAAGGCATTCTGGGAAAAGAACCAGGTGTCGTCCACCACAAGACAAAACAAATCAATCCAGAGAACAGAACAATCACAAAACCAATTAGAAAAACAATACTGCCTTCACACAAAACACACAAACAAAGGAATAAAGCTTTGTGTTTCATAAAAGCAAAACAAAAAATTAAACCCAATAAGCAAATCTACAGGCAACTGTTGTGGGAAACAATGCAATAATTTTCCTTATTTGATATTTACATTAAATTCTAACGAAAGATGATTTTCCACTATCACAATAAAACAATAACATCTGTCACGGAAATAGCATCTTGTCACTAAAATGTCCTGAAGATGCAATCTACTGTTGGAAACCCCTGTCAAAAATGTTAATTTCTCAAATTATTATGATACAAAACCATTTCGTTTCCTCCCCTCTTCCCCTTGGGAAGGAAAAAAAAACACAAAAGAAATAATTGAGGCCTTGAAGTTTTATTAGGCAGACGAATGTGTCCAGATAACGAACCATATCCTGCCTCTGAGCAGATCCCCGATTCCACGCAGATGAAAAGATTTCCATTAGCAGATTTGTGAATATGGGCGATTTATTGCATGAGTATGAGAAAGTTACACAAAGGAGAATGGGAACAAATTAAGGTTCAGATCTACACCACACACACTTTCTGATTTGGTCATTCACCCCTCTGTACATGTGTATGTCCATATAAACATATATTCCCCGGTCTGGTCCTGCATGCATGTAAACAAATGCTTTTCTCTGGTGAAGGAGCCCTCTCCTCACCGCTCGGCTGGCCAGAGTCTGCCTGACTGGCATGTATCGAGAGCCAAATTGCTTTCAAATAGAAAGAGTTTTGCTTTTATTTAATTTTCTTGAGAAAACCACAAACCATTGCGAGACTGCTCATGCGTTTGTCTGTGGTGACGGGAGCCTGTTTTGGAGTTGAAGGCTGTGTCGGAAGGGGGGGGGGGGGGTGCAGCATGGGGTGGGACCGGACCCAGAGGCTGGAGATTTATGGATCGGGGGCCTCTGCATGTATATTTACAGTCTCATGACCCGAGCACAGCACCCGCGGTTCCAGGGTGAGGGGGAGGGGTCGAAAACACACCCCCACCCCCCATCACCCCACACACACACACACACACACACACACACATAGGTTTGTAATTATATCTTTGTGGGGACTCTCCATTCATTTCTATGGGAAAAACTCTAATCCCAACATAACACCCTAACCCCTACCCAGCGCTAACCTTAAACATAAGTAGCCAAATAAAATACGAGACTTTTTAGTTTTTTGACTGCATTCACAGATCTTTGTGGGGACCTGAAAAATAGTGCCCACAATGTCAAAATAACACGTTTTTATTTGGTCCCCACAGTGTAATGCAAACATAATCCACACACACACACACACACACACATAAATTCTTTAAAATTCTTCCATGTTGGCCCCTAGACAGTTCCCACAACATAACTCAATTTTTTTTAACTATGCTTTTTACTGTCAGAAAATTAGTCACACACACCGTAGATGAATAAATACATTAAAACCGGACAATTATGCAGCTGATCATAATGCCTGGATCTCCTCCTCCATAAACAACATCATAAAAGTGTCAACCCACCTCCCAGCATTTCAATCTGCATATTCATCTGTTAAAATGCACGAATTTCCTGAAACTGTTTTCATATCAGAGCTTATAAGGTGGTTTATGGGGGGGAATGAGTGTATCGACAGCCGTCTGATGACACCTCTGTGCCGGTGACCCTACGTGACCCTAAACGTCACCAGGACCGGCAGGGGATGCCACATGGCAGGTATCAGGCCTGTCATACTTCCACCCTCCCCCCCACCAGGGTGGCTCGCCTGCATTTCGTTTTGTGATGCCCCTCACCAGGGCAGTGTCGGGACACCACCCCCCCTGCGCCTCGCACCCCCCCCCCCCCCCACTCCAGGAACACACCCCCTGAGCTCAGATAAGGGCCGGTGAGAGAGAGTGCCAGTATATTACCGCAGATAACGACACATGCGGGTTTATTTGTTTCACCCCGGGGCCAACACGACTGCTGAGGGAATGCACAGCCGGGGGGGGGGGGATTCCCAATCGTCACGGGACCCTTTAGACTGGAGCAAATTGTGCATGTCCTGGGTGGGGCCTACATTAAAATGCCTGTTATTTTTTTCAATCAAGGCAGAAAGCTTGATCCCCCCCCCACCCCCCACCTTATTTTTTTTAATATGTCGGGTTTACATGTGAAAGGCGGATGCAAAAGTGAGCCGTCCCTGAATGAGCATCTTCCAGCCTGGACCCCCCCCCCCTCCTTCATCCTGTCTGCTCCTGGTTGAGCTCCAGCGAGGAGGGCAAGGAGTTGCTTCTCAGTCTGGAAACAAAAAAAAAATGGGGGGGGGGGGGGGCACGGGCTCTGGGCTGCCAGAAATGGTGCCGTGGAACAGTGTGCTGAGAGGGATCTCTGTGCTTTATGAGCCATAAAGGTTTTATTCATCGGTGCATCAGGCCGGGTCGCGGCACGGGTCGACATGCCTTAGATAAACCGAAATAATTCCAGGGCTTCAAACAAAACAAGCATTTATCTTTGCCTTGAGACTTAATGGACTGTTTATTGTTTGATGTTCAGTTTCAAGTCCATAATGTCTTCCTTTAAATGCCCACCCCCCCAGAGCATCACAAGATAGAAGTACGTTTATGGAGTTTTCTGCCTCCTCTGTCTCGCAGGGATCGAGCTCTCCCTCTCTCTCTCTCTTTCTCTCTCTCCTCAGACCTCCCCGGCCGCTCGCCCACCACTTCGGACCCTTCCGGTACCCCTGCTTTAGCTCTGCCCGCCGCCAAAGCCCTCCGCCGCCAGATGACTATCCAGCACGGAGTTTGGGTAACATGTTGTTTTACTGCTGACCTCCAGCTCAACCCTGACCCCTGACCCCGGGACGTATCTGTCACTGCTTAACACAAAATGGTGCCCCGATCTGAGGGTGGTGCTGTTTTTTGGTGGGGGGGGGGGGAACCAAAAGAAATGCACAGGGGGACTCCTTTGTGCATTTTGGTTTTCTCATTAAGAAATTGTTTCCCCCCCCCCCCCACCCCCCCCCCCCCACCCACCCCACCCCACCCCACCCCACCCC